GAAGTGAAAAGTTTTTATTTAATGTCATAACCACCTTTAACCAAATTCATAAATTGGTAGACACTTTTTATGTTTATAAGAAATTCATGCAAATTTTGGTGTTGGTTAAAGGTTGTTATGACTGTGTAGGAGTTGTCTAACACAGCCACCCTCTTGAGTTTTCCCATTACTCTAATGCTAATACGGACCGATTGTACCTTACTTTGGGACCCTATATCATTAGAAATACTATTGTATCATTAACCAACCAATATTTATCATTAAATTGGAACATAAGCCTAGTGATTCGTGCAATTTTTAAGGGAAAAATGCAATCAGAAAATTTGAAGTCATTGTAGGCCGCAAAACGGCCTTATAGAGAATGATCCTTTGTATTAAGGTAATCTACATGTAAGAAAAAAGACAATTAATGGCATACAATTAAATCAGCTATTTCAAATACACTTAAAAACGAAACAACATGCTTTGTGTTCAGCGTCATCATACAGGCAGAGAAGAAATTTTACTATTTTATAGAAAAAATATAGGATATCAAATATGCATGCACGTAAATTCCCGTAGAATATCAACAAATCGTAATAGGAAACAGGTTAATTACAAAAGGCAGAGGTGCAGTTCCTCCCTCTATTTATTAAACTTAAAAGATAGAAAAATAGAGACTCTTTATACATGTGGCCAAATAGCAGCCCTCTACTATTTATAAAAGAACAGTTTCGCTGCATTTAATGAGACAGATACGAGATTGTTACGTGCTTGTTTACAGCCTTTAGATAACACTAACACATTCTAAATTCTTAGCACCCAAGTAACTTTTTTCACACAACATGACGATACATGTAACATGCCACAACTTATCATTTTCTTACCATGGTCATTCATTATTGTCAATATAGTAGATTATTTTTTTCTTATGTACTGGTACATGTAGAAAATGAATTAGAATAAAATCTATTGGTGTTGTGTACTACATGTACCTGTAAATAACATTTTACAATGTAAAATACCTCATTCTTTTATTCATATTTTTTATTAAATCAAAAAATGACATTTAAATTTTTCATTCATAATTATGATTTTTGCTAAAGCCACATTCTAATAATTTACTTGTTTTAAAAATTTATGATTAAGTATATTATATTATCAAGAAACCGGTTTGTTCAAGTTAAAATATTGTTTCATAGAGTAAGAGATGAAAACTGATGAATGTATATCACCACATCACTATTTTGTATATTTAATTTCGTCACTATTTAATTTAAAGTAAGAATTTGCTTATTATTTAAGAGATTACTATGCATGCCCTTTAAACGAATTTATTTTTGATTACTGTTTAAAAATTGATAATTGATAATTGACTGCTAAATTTGATAAGATTGCCATTTGTATTTTTTCACAATGTTAAATCATCAACTCATGAAACATTTTAAGGTATTTCTATTCTCAAAGTTTTATAGGTTCAAAATAAGTTTTATGGGTTCAAAATAGAAAACTGCATTTATTGCACTGTATATAATAAAAATTAACCGAAATAACGCCAAAAATGTATACGTTACCACATTTTTACAGAGATTCGGCAATATTGAATACAAGTTATCTTATCCTTAGTATTCATTCTTTTGTAGTGAACAGTATAAATGTTAGGTACAAACTGAATAAAATACGTAATATTAATGCTAAAATATGTAATATTGATGCTAAAAGTTTCAAAATAATTGGTACTTCATAAAATACTAGTATGAAAAAAAAAATTAGATAATATGCGCAACAATGAAAATTCCTGAATACTCGAGGAGTTATTGCCATTGGTAATATTTTAGAAGATTGAATAGATTAAATAATGAAAATATACATTTTCATAATTTGCGTATCTAACAATTACTAGTATTTGCATTACACATATTGAAAGCATACATTTAAACTATTTTCAAAGAAAGAGGTTTTAATTTAGATTAACAACAGTTTTTGCAAAAACCTATGACATCACAGGAGGGTGGACATGCCTTTAACCCAAATTGTAAGACATAAGATATCTTTGTAGATAAAAAGATTGGATTTAATATCATTTTCTTAATACACTTGTATTTTGTAACTGAGAAAACTGTATGAGTGTCTTTAAAAAAAAATAAATATTATCAAAAAAAATCTCTCTTCATTTGATTATTATGACGGCTTTTTTGTGACAAAAATATGTAAAAATTATCATAGATTAATGTCTATATTTTCTCGTTAAATTTATTTGAGATAAACAAGATTGGTATCTAGTCATTATATTCAAAACATCGTACGTTATTTATAAATAAATATCATTTTCATGCATAACCATAGGTGTCCTAGAATGTTATTTTAATTTGGATGGTCTCGCCTAAAATGGTAATACAATTGTTTCAAAATAACATATGAAAATTATTAAAAATAATTAAAATGGATAGAATAAATAGTCATTATTATTGTAAATGGGGAAACTCTAAAAATTAAAGATAGGTTAGAGAAGGATGGTGTATTCTTGAAAACATCGCAAAAGTTTGCAAATTAACAGATACAATCTACATATCTATCAATTTTTAAAATAAAACATATATACCATCTTCTCCCTCTTAATTTGCCAACATGGAAAATAGGTGTACACCTACAAATTAATATGGATGATGTTAACGAATGTGGTATGATGTACTAGAAATAAAAAAAAAAAACAACGTCTGCAAAACAGATACATGTATGGTGTTCTAGATAATAAGAACTGGGTATTCAGGTGATGAAGATATATTATTGCATAAGTAAAACTAGTTGATGATAGAAAAAGTTAAAGTCCTCTTGTTTATCATATAAATGTTTTTTTCCTATTAGATAATTATTAACGCCATTTTATATAGGACTTTTCATCTTGAATACTATTTATTATAAAATCATTTGAACTTATGTCAAAATATTTCTACCAACTTTGGATATCACAGAAATTCACGAACCTTCCGAACAACCCTTAGGTTAAAAGTATAATTCATCCCCCGATTTCAATAAATCAGATAAAGATATTGATTGGGTTTAAAATATTTGAGTTTCACTTTAAATGGCTTTCTAATCTACATAGAACTATCAACATAGATATAATGCGCATTCCAACAATTGTTCTACCAAGGTAAACCCCAATCTTCACTTCTCACATAAATAATGACAGCAGTGAAGGTAAGAGGATAGAAGTATTGTTCACGATCAACAATATATTCGGGAAGTAGTATAAATCGTGTGACTATTTCAAACTTCAAAGGAGTTTTCAATAATCTTAATCCCAAACATTTAAAAAAACAAAAACAAATTAGAATTGTGATTCCCCGCTTTCGGGGTTTTTGTTGGCTAGGGATTTCATTTTTATTTTATTGTGTCAATTATGAACGCCCTATCATATCTCAAATTAAAATTATCACTATCTTATCACTGATTTTTTTTTATGAAAAACGAAGTCCCTTCCACCACCTGTCCAAAATGTATGGACAAGGATGAATTTTTAAGGATAAGTCAAACTGCAAGGTTAAATTGCGTGAATTTATCCATCTAAACTTGGAATGATTAATTGCTTTTTATAATGTAAATCTAGTCAGCAATATCTAAGCCATATTTCTTGGATGAAATGAAAAACTGAGGCTGACGCATATATTCTTTGCATATTTATTTAAAAAAAAATCCTAATGGTCGCCTAACAATCAACTTAAGGATTAGAGTGTTGACGTTTGGCATCATTTGATCATCATCATCTCCCCTTATATACCTGGCAATATACCTTTTTTCTGTTTGCTTGATAATGACAGTGAGCACATGCATGACGGATGTGACCGGTTTTTCAGAGGATGATTAATTCTCCAAGGAATCTGATTCCACGTCTGATGTTTTCCGTCTATTTTCACTGCTCGATTAATTTTTGTAGTGTTTCCATGGCATTTTAATTTGGCTTGATCACTAAGGTTATCTTCAAATTGCGTTCAATAGTTGGAATGATTTTGATACATGTAATATATTGATATCACTGAATAAAAAAAAAATATTTGTCAGTATATTTTCTTTAATCAACAACTATTTGTATAACAGAATAATAACATTTTGTAAATAACAGTAAAAACACATATAACAAAACTAATAACAGGAGTCCTTTTCACTTTGTGTCGACTCTCTTCGTATTCTTAATTATGGGGTTACTTTCTTATTTAGAATCTTTTAAATGGAATGTCACTTCTGAATCTGTAATAAAGTAGTGAAAAAAATCACCACTATTAATAAATATATTGCCTCAGCAATACTCTTAATATTCAAGTATTTTATACTTACAAAACCCTAGGCTGGATATCGGGTTTACGAACGTCAATGAAACTGGACAACCTATATGATACAGTTGACAATAAAAATTTGCGCGAAAGTATCTGTCATCATTTTGCTTGATTTCAATTAATTTGGATACGAAACAATAAAAAAATGTCTTACCATGAATGGTCAACATCTCTGTACTTTCGTCTTTTTGATAGGTAAATGACGATAGAAATAACCGTCAGATTTACAAAAAGAATACTACAGATAATGATGGCAAGCTTCCATTTGTTTATTCTGCAGTAATATTCGTTCACACGATCTTCACAGTCAAAAATGACTGAGCAGGGATCTGGTGCACATTCATTTATATCTGTACGATGGAAAAATATAGATGCCTAATTTTCAGGCTTATTAAAAAAACGTAATGTTTGGTTTAAAAAAACCCTTAAATATCTGTTTTCAATATATTTTTCTGCGGATTTTTTTTCCAATTTATTTTCTTTTTTGTTTTGATTTGGTATCTGAGGTTGCGTTTTCAATATTCATACCTATGTCACATATAGTCCCTGTATACCCCGCTCGACAAGAACAGGTGAAGCGGTTAATGAGATCGTTACAAGTACCTGAATTCAAACACGGGTTACTGGCACACTCATTGATATCTGGAAACAGAACAAAAATTTTAATCCTAAAAATATGTGATTTCCCACAAACCTTTTAAAGACTTAAAACAGACAAACATTGGTTGAAAATAAAGTAAATAGATTACCTATTTCACAGATGGAGCCGGTAAAACCCGGAACACATGAGCATCGGAACCGATTAATCTCATCAATACAGGATCCATTGTTCTGACAAGGAGAGCTGGCACATTCATCAATATCTGAGGTCATTATTTGAACAATTTAGAATCTACATTATACCAGGATGCAACCACATAAGTTTCAGCTTTTCTGGCCCAGTGGTTCTTGAGAAGAAGATTTTCAAAGATTTTTCCTATATATTTCTATGTAAAACTTTGATACCCCATTGTGGCCCCGCCCTTCCCCCAGGGGGTCATGATTTGAACAATTTAGAATCTACACTACACCAGGATGCTTCCACATAAGCTTCAGCTTTTCTGGCCCAGTGGTTCTTGAGAAGAAGATTTTCAAAGATTTTTCCTATATATTTCTATATAAAACTTTGATTCCCTATCGTGGCCCCACCTTTCCCCCGGGGGTCATTATTTGAACAATTTAGAATCTACATTATACCAGGATGCTTCCACATAAGTTTCAGCTTTTCTGGCCCAGTGGTTCTTGAGAAGTAGATTTTCAAAGATTTTTCCTATATATTTCTATGTAAAACTTTGATTCCCCATTGTAGCCCCACCCTTCTCCCGGGGGTCATGATTTGAACAATTTAAAATCTACACTACACCAGAATGCTTCCACATAAGTTTCAGCTTTTCTGGCCCAGTGGTTCTTGAGAAGAAGATTTTCAAAGATTTTTCCTATATATTTCTATATAAAACTTTGATTCCCCATTGTGGCCCCAACCTTCCCCCGGGGGTCATTATTTGAACAATTTAGAATCTACACTATACCAGGATGCTTCCACATAAGATTCAGCTTTTCTGGCCCAGTAGTTCTTGAGAAGAAGATTTTCAAACATTTTTCCTATATATTTCTATGTAAAACTTTGATTCCCCATTTTGGCCCCACCCTCCCCCGGGGGTCATTATTTGAACAATTTAGAATCTACACTACCCCAGGATGCAACCACATAAGTTTCAGCTTTTCTGGCCCAGTGGTTCTTGAGAAGAAGATTTTTTAATGACCCAATCCTATTTTTGTCTTTTCTTGATTATCTCCCCTTGCGAGGGGATATGTCCCTTCATTTTACACACATTTGGTTATATATTGGGTACATCAAGTCCAAGTCCTATTGGATACTGCTTATTGGATACAAAAAAAGTGTACACACGAGAGAGCATTATTTGGGTAGTTACTGTTCAAATCTTATTGGATATTATTCCTCTTGTCCGTATTTTATTGGGTTTTTTCTTATTGTTTTTTATTCATTTCAAATTTATTATATATTTAATATTTGCTGGTAAATTCAGACAAGACTGAAAACCTTTGGTTTTGAACCCATATTTTTGTCAATTTCTGTGATATAGCTCTTTTATTGTAACACCTAACTAATTTGTTCTTAGCAATAAGGATATACACCTGTATATTTCAAAATATCTAATATTAGAATATATGAATACCTAAGTGCAAAAAAACTGAATTGTGAAAACACAACTCAACACATCTCAGACTCTGTTCAACCTTTCTTGAATAACAAAATTAAGTATTTAAGGAGAAACCTCTTTGAGTCATGACCAATTAATAATAAGCAAATGGCAATTACATGTTGGACAGAATGAAGGTATCCAACAGGCATTGGACAGGTGTCCAATACCTGTTGGGTTGTATTTTGATGAAGGGATTAAACTATCCAAGAACAATTGAACATGTGTACATTGTCCAATTCTATTTGGGTTTCTTGAATCTCCTCATCAAAATACAACCCAACAGGTAATGGACACCTGTCCAACTCCTCTTGGATATCTACATCCTACCCAACAGGTAATGGACACTTGTCCAATTCTTCTTGGGTTTCTTGAATTGTTTCATCAGAATACCACCCAACAGGTAATGGACATCTGTCCAACTCCTCTTGGATATCTACATCCCACCCAACAGGCAATGGACACTTGTCTAATTCTTGGGTTTCTTGAATTGCATCATCAAAATACAACCCAACAGGTAATGGACACCTGTCCAACTCCTCTTGGATATCTACATCCCACCCAACAGGCAATGGACACTTGTCCAATTCTTCTTGGGTTTCTTGAATTGTTTCATCAGAAAACCACCCAACAGGAAATGGACATCCGTCCAACTCCTCTTGGATATCTACATCCCACCCAACAGGCAATGGACACTTGTCCAATTCTTGGGTTTCTTGAATCTCCTCATAAAATACAACCCAACAGGTAATGGACACCTGTCCAACTCCTCTTGGATATCTACATCCTACCCAACAGGTAATGGACACTTGTCCAATTCTTCTTGGGTTTCTTGAATTGTTTCATCAGAATACCACCCAACAGGTAATGGACACCTGTCCAACTCCTCTTGGATATCTACATCCCACCCAACAGGCAATGGACACTTGTCTAATTCTTGGGTTTCTTGAATTGCGTCATCAAAATAAAACCCAACAGGTAATGGACACCTGTCCAACTCCTCTTGGATATCTACATCCCACCCAACAGATAATGGACACTTGTCCAATTCTTCTTGGGTTTCTTGAATTGTTTCATCAGAATACCACCCAACAGGTAATGGACACCTGTCCAACTCCTCTTGGATATCTACATCCTACCCAACAGGTAATGGACACTTGTCCAATTCTTCTTGGGTTTCTTGAATTGTTTCATCAGAAAACCACCCAACAGGTAATGGACATCCGTCCAACTCCTCTTGGATATCTACATCCCACCCAACAGGCAATGGACACTTGTCTAATTCTTGGGTTTCTTGAGAATCCCCTCATCAGAATACTACCCAACATGTAATGGACACCTGTCCAATTCCTCTTGGATATCTTCATCCCTTCAATAGTATATAAACTAAAAGGTATTGGACATTCTTCTTGGGTTACTCAAATTTTTTTTCATAAGAAAGAAAACCCAATAGGTATTGGACATTGGTTAAACTCTTCTTGGATATTACATCCCAACATTAGAACAAAACCCAACAAGTGATGTTTACCTGTCCAATTCTTCTTGGGTTACTTATACCCTTCATTAAAATTGTCAGATTTGTCTTGGATATTTATACTCTTGCATTAGATTGCAAATCCAATAAGTATGACATTTACCTTCCCTAGTTGAATTCAAATTTATCTGCATAAGCATACATAAGTCCAAAACATATTTAATACTTTAATTCTAACATTCCACATCTCATTCAGTGTACACTTTACAAATGATAGGAAATATATAAGCATTTTGTGCCTAAACTATTTGGCTTTTAAAGAATTTTATAACCATGTTTGCAAAATTTAAATTTAAATATTGGAACTTGGAGCAAGTCATTACAGGTAGAGCAAGATGCTGAAAACCATATTGATAAATAGATCACACCCTTGATAAAATATTTGCCTTCAGTTGCTAAGATTGTGTTGTATTATATGGAAAATTTCTATAATGCTGTTTAGTACAGATACATGTACAATGCATATTTTCCCTGTAATAATAAAAATACTTCTGAGATGTAAAAGAATGGATTAAATAGTCACCGATGTTAAAAGATATTATATGATCTCATTAATCTGGTTTGGAAATCACAGACTTAGTTTTGAAGCCGATAAAACAGTGTCGCACCAGAAAACTCAGTTACAAGTACAATGAATGAATTCGTTGTATCAAAACTTTAAAATAATTGATGCACTATGTCCAAATTTTTTCGACAAATCGGGATAAAGATATTAAATCAAATCATCACTGTCATAAGTCTTAGAGCTAGAGAAAAGTCATTACATGCCCAAATTTTACATGCAAGACTTTGATCCTATATTTCAATAAATGTCAAAATGGTTTTATTTTTGTTTCTGTTCAATACTTTCTTCTTCAGGGTCTCTCATGGCCTATACTGTATGATACCTCCATTGACCCTGCTCTTTTATATTGCCATATGTTTATCCAGTAGCAGTGGTTATGCTCAAGCAATCTTTGAAATATTCCTCATTTCATGCATCTCCTTCAGTTTTGCCTCTGTCCATTTTATTCATTCTGCAATTAGATAAAGGCATTTCTTTGCCGTATAAAACATGTTTTTCTTGACTACAGCAAGATCACCCTTTATATTGATCAAACCCAACCAAGAAGTAAAAGTATATTTCTTATTCAGAAATAAGTATTGATAAATAAAATGGAAGAAAAACTAAATTCTATCAACTATTTTTTTTCTTCTATGTCTAACTGCAACTTCATCCTACCCCCCATCCGCCATAATTTTATCAAAATGGAATCATCATTCAACACACAAAACGATGTTGCATATTAATTAGACAGTATGTTAGTTTCTGATTGTTAAGAAGGAGATTTTAAAAAGATTTTACATCTATTCCTTGAAAATTTTAGACTTCTAATGTAACACTATCAGTACATTAAGGGTACATAATCTTCAAAAACATCTCTACACTTAATGATAAAGCTTTCACATTAGTATTGTTTTTAGCCCAATGGTTCTGCTAAAGAGGATTTAAAATTGACCCAAACCTTACTAACTGCTTTGAAATTATATTGACAGGGACAGACACACACTTGACACTCCATCCCCCCTTCCTGTGGTATGCTTTGCACAAAATTTAATTGAAATTGACTAAGCTGGATAGAAGTTGAAAATATGAAAAATTATAGGTCAACAGCATTATTCAACAACTTTCCAGTGACATCAGACATGTTTTAAGCCAGATGCTATAGCCTTACGATCTGGTCATCATAACTATACACCTACAAGTTCCTTAGCTGGTTTTATACCCATAGGCAGGGTAAGGAAAAAATGCATTTCAAGTAACCAGTAATATTCAGCAATAATCAGTATGCCGCTACCACACATGATACATGTATTAACATAACCACACATTGCACTATTTTTGGAAAGGCATACTTGCTTTTCAAAAATATTTGATTAATACCAAGGAGCACATTTCAATCACTTCATTCATTTTCAGTACATAAGTACACCCCCCACTATGGTACAACTGACCCTGGGGCCTTGAAATTTACAATTCTTGAAGATTAGGGATTGCTCATAACTATATAGGTAATTCATCTGCTTAAAACCTAGGAGCAAAGATGAAAATATTCAAAGATTTAATGTTTTTTCAAACATGAGAGTATACAATACAGCCCCGCTAACACAGAATCCCTGTGCATAAAATTGAAAATTTTGGCAAACTCTTGTTCATCATAACTATGTACTTTTAGTTTATTTAATACCCATGAGTAAAAAGAGATTTTCAAAGAATTCATGTATTTGCTATATAACATACCACCCTGACACCAGAACCCCTGACCCTGGGGCCATAAAATTACAATTTTGGTAGTGGCACTCTTGTTCATCATAACTATGTACTTATAGTTTATATAAAACCTAGTAGCAGAGAAGATTTTCAAAGAATTCATGTATTTTCACTATATAATTAATAGAGCCCCGCCCTAAAACCAGAACCCCTGACCCTGGGGCCATAAAATTCACAATTTTGGTAGAGGCACTCTTGCTCATCAAAACTATGTACTTAGTTAAATTATATAAAATCTAGGAGCAGAGAAGAAGATTTTCAAAGAATTACATGTATTGTCACAACATTTCTGAGCCCCGCCCTAACACCAGAACCCCTGACCCTGGGGCCATGTTCAATTTTGGTGCACTCTGCTCATCATAACTATATTCTTAGTTAGTTTATTTAATACCCAGGAGTAAAGAAGAAGATTTTCAAAGAATTCATGTATTTACTATATAATCAAAGAGCCCCACCCTGAACCATGATGGGGCCATAAAATTCACAATTTTTAATTTCCATAACTATGTACTTAGTTAGTTTATTTAATACCCAGGAAAAAAAATCTAAACCAATTTATTGTAACATAATACTTAGGAAATATTTATGTAATATCAATGCTGATTAAAAAGGACATGATTGATGTCCAGTTATCCTAAAATCACAATATACAATTCACAATTTTTGTTCCCCTAAACCCATTAGCTGCTTTGTGCCAAATTTATTGAAATTGGTTCATCGCTGTGCAATAAAGAAAATTCAAAAGTACTAATCCACAGCTTTGTGGACAAAAACAATAAAGGTCACTAGTTTACTCAGGTGACCTAAAAAATAAAAAGTGAATAACAAGCCCAAATGATAGTAGTGCAAAAATTAACCTAAAGATAAGCTGTTTTATTCCTTTGAAAAAATTGTTTCTTTTCCTGTATGCCACCTATATCAGAACAAAAGTCAGGGTATTAACATAACCTATGACCGTATAGTACCCCAGTATTTACTTTACAATTAATTAAGTTTAATTTAATTTTTGCTTAAAACAAAATTTAAATCAAATATAAATTAATGATTGCATGAAATTGTTAAAAAAATAGAAAAAAAAATTTAAATATTCCTTTCTGGTAACATTCACTAGTTATGTAGCTGTATTAAAACAAAAGCTTTCCTGAAAATCATTTTGTTTTCATCTTGATCTCTTCATTTAAAGCCATATATGTCTCTAAAAATCTTATGGTTGGCATGAAAATTATTTTAGACTAAAATTATAAGAGTGTGTTCTTGCAATGTTCACAATTGTATCTGTACTTTATATAAACATGATAAAGATTATGGTTTTAATTTTCCATTGTAAAATTACTTTTATAAAAAAAATCTAAGTCAATTGCGTTATAAAGATAGGAAAAATTTAATTTGGAAAAAAGGAATCATTATCTCCAGTTATCCTAAAATCACAAGAAAATAATCACAAGATTTAAATAACACATTACAGAGAAAATAAAATCTGTGCAATAAAGGAAATTAGTATAAAACTTTGTGGCAATAAAGTTACTATCCCCGAGTAAAAAGTGACAAGCCCAAATATGCAAAAATAAAAAGCTTGAAAAAAATTTGAAAAAATGTGTCAACTATATTCTCTTTATTAAATTTTTTAATTTTTCAGTAAAATATATTCAATAATCAGATTTAAAAAAATTACGCCATATATGGCTTTAAAACGAAGCAAAAAAAAATCATTTAAAGCTACAATGCAAATATAAAATATGAACTTATCATGACACTTATCATTGAGCTTTATAATTTAAGGAGGCATGTCAACAATAAAGATAGAAATTTTTAAATTACAAAATCTAAGTCAATTGCGTTATAAAGATATCAAAGTTTAATTTCATTTGACAACTAGGAAGAAAATACAAAAGATTTTAACACATTTTAAATTTTAGATAAAACATTTTTTCGAATTGTATATCTTTATTTATGTATTAACTATATTTCTTTACTTAATTTTTAAAAAAGATAGCCATATATGGCTTTAAAAAAAACGCTAAATAATTGCATGACACTTATCATTGAGCCCAGAGTGAATGTATATAATTTAATAATTAGATATCTGTGAGGCATATTATGTACAAGCAAATATTGCTATATTAAACAAAGGAAAGGGGGGAATTCAAATTAGGAAATAAAAGATCGTTTTTAAGTAAATCAGTCTTGTAGTACTGCAAAATGGATGCAGTTGTGGAGATTTATGGATAATATGAGCATGCTGTCTGGAATATTTCCACATTTGGGAATTTAGCGCAGAAAACCACTAGTCCCATTCTCAAAAATCGAAGCCCAGGGTGTAGCGCGATGCTAAATACACACCCATCATGTGAAATAGTTATAGTAGCCCTATATCAATTTCAGTATTGTTTTAAATTAATTAAAACAAATGACAAAAACAATAATTTTAAAAAAATCAAAATAAAGCAGACACTCATCATCTGTTAAATCTAAAGCAAACTAGCATGGCGCGGCGCCATGCCCTTATTTCCTAACCCAAAATTAATAAATATGCCCAGTTTAGGCAATATTCCTTTGCTGTTCTGTTTATTCAGTGCATGCTGATAATCCCTTTATTTAAACAACGACAGGAAATCACTTCACGCTTGAACGCACGCACACAGCCACCTGGCTAATTAACATGCCTCAGGCTGTCAGGGTAGAGGATTTAACTTGAGAAACTGTCATTTGATTGCATTGATTATGCAAGAATTAGCCCAAGACCAAAGATAAATAAACTTGTAAATTATTAACTAATTAAAATCAGGATCGTTTTTTTACAAACCGAAATTAGAAAAAAACACATAGTACAACTTGAAGAAAAAACGGATATTTTATCTGAATAAAATACTTACAGTGTACCAAAAAACTGAATGTAATGTGATAAAAAGGCTTAAAAACAACAAACTAAGTTAGTTTCTTTGATTGAACTGATAGATTTGACAAGCTGAGGGTCAAAGTTTCTAATTAAAGTCAGAGTTTTTTTTTAAAACAAATTATGCATGGCAGTAAGACCAGTTTTCACATGATCCTGTTGGTAGAATATTTTCCAAGTAAAGAGAATGGTCTCTACATGTATTTCTCAAAATGCCCATCCCCCCTTCCCTGAAAAAAGTATTTTCCTTTAATGTTTGAATTGCCTGTACTTGTAAACAAATAACAGTCCAAGCAGGTAAAAAATCAATCATACCTCCAAACTTTAATAATTTTTGCACCTGTTTCAGCTAGATTAATACCATTACTTTCTCAAGTGTAACCTTACTACTTTTTTTATTGAAGAAATTGGATGTAAATGCCTTTTTTATATTCTTTTTGTTTCTGAATCAATAATTAAAACATTGTTTTTTTTAAAAAAAAAGAATGGAATACAGATATATGAATTTATCTTTAAATTACTTGTTTTAAATAAAGATTTCAATATGAGAGGATATTAAAAGTAATTAAACATGTTAAAGTATGTAAAAATTAAAAAAAAATTTAAATATAATTTCAATGACATTAACATTTGTTTTCAAAGTGCCCTCGTGAGATCCTGTCGCGACACACAGTGCCCTTTTGACTCCTTGATTACCATGCCCTTTTTAGGGTCTAGATTTAACATCAAAGACAGAAAGAAGCACTGTTTTGACTGAAAGTTTTTCAGTAATACAATGAATTTCTTAAGTTACATATCAGATGAGATAAACTTACACACAATTATTTAGTTGTTGTCAATTATCCCATTTATCATCATCTCAGCTCACTTTGCGATTGTAATACTGTCTACATGAACCGATAATTTACAGCTGATTTATGAACACACGATTGTTAAAATTTTCATTTCCCTTTCCAATATACATTGTCAGAACATACTTAGTAGGTTATGATATAAAATTAAATAATAAACACTTTCGATTTATTAAAGATTATCTAACAATATACGATCATTTACTAAATACTTCTCGCCCTCAAGAGAGTTAAAAAGACAGAGAAAATTCAAAATACAAACAAGTGCAACTTAGGATTAATTGTTCCGATATATCTATTTTAATTTTGTGCACAATTGTTTTCAAAATTACATTAAAATCTATTTTCCTTAAACAGGAACTTAGCAATGGATAAATATTAATCGAATGAACTTACCTTTTCTCTTGTCAATCAGAAAATCTTGTTGACATGAAGTGTTTCTTAGACGCCATATTTTTTTCCATGAAAACAAACGTTGTTATGATCAGGATCAACGGAAGTTGATTTTCGGAACTCTCGAGAATTTAGAGTTCCGAATGTAAAACTGAAACAACAAAACACGGTGCGTCCGTGAAAGCAACTTTTTTGGACACTTTTTTGGACAAATCGTCGTGTCCAAGTTTTGTTGGGTACTAACCTGCAAATACCCAATTAGGGTGTTTTAAGCATATTCAGCGACACTTCTTATTGGGTATACCCAATAAGCAAAAAGTACCCAATAAGTACAATCTTGGCATGAAAAATACCCAATAAATGCACTCTCGTAAACACGGACGGACAGACGGACGGACGACGGACAAAATGTGATCAGAAAAACTTACTTGAGCCTTCGGCTCAGGTGAGCTAAAAAAGACAGCCTGGTCAGCTGACAATATAAATTTCTCTATTTTTTAACTGAAAGAGAAGTATCTACCTGTATGGCATACTGTGTCGGTAAACCCTGGTATACAGGAACATTTAAACCTGTTGATAAGATTGGTACACGAACCATTGTGCTGACACGGATCACTTTGGCATTCGTCAATATCTTGATAGTAAATAAAAAATAATCAATGTCATTAAGGAAAGGAAAGTGAATGGATAATAAACATGACATAATGTTAGAAATGTACAGTGTTCAATTAAGATAATGGCAATAATATTTTGAACCTACTACGTTATTTAAGAAATAAGGTATCATTTTTAAACATTTATTGATATATAAATACGGGTTGGTCACGAAATTTAATTCCATAAAGCCCGAAGGGCTTTATGATGAATTTAATCTCGTATCAACCCGTATTTATACCCCGATAGATGTTTTAAAATGAGGCCTTATTACTTATATTTACATTTGTGACTTATTCATACTTTATATTTGCCTGATTGTGACTTTTAACGTGTGAAATGCGTTATTTTTCAAACCCAACGTCATGTATGTAATCCACTGAACGCGCGTCGACAGTTTATGACGTCACAGAGAAATTACGTCGAACGTTTATCTATTACGCACATTTATGACCTCTTGACCCCGTACCTGTATTTATACAGTTATAGATACGCATTGCTTTCAGTAGTGTTATATAAAGGAAAACATTTGCAAATGTATATATTAAGATATCAAGATACATTAAAATAAAATAGTAATGATTCAAGGAGACATGTACCTGTCTGACACATCAGTCCAGTAAAGCCACCCACACAGGTACAGGTGAAACCATTTACATGGTCATGACAAGTCCCACCATTCTGACAAGGTCCACTCGCACATTCGTTTATATCTAAATATATACATTAAAGTGACAAGAAAGATTGTATTAAAGTACATAAGCTGTAAAAAAAAAATCCAATTTTTTCCTCTTTTCTTTATTTGCAAATGAACAATTCTAAATCAAACCGCAGCCATTTCTTTAGCAACCTTAAAAGAATTCACAGATAATTGTTTCGCTGCGATTTATATTTTTGCAAGTTAAATAAGGCCGAATAAAAGTTAACTGTAATAGGAACATTTCGAAATATGTAGTTGCTAGCTGTAAAGAGCTGTATTTGTAAAAAAATAAATCAACTTGATAATGACGAGAGTATTGAACGAATTTATAAAACAAAAATATCAAAGAAATGTCTACAAATATTCTAGAAACTATCAGGGGGAGTCAAGGTACCAAGTACAAAATACAATTCAAAACGTTAAATAAGCACATTCTTAAAATTATTCAATACACTTTCTGAACTGATAATAAACTCCACATAAATATCCCATAAATATAAATATAAACATAAACATATAAACATAAATATCCCTTTTCAAAAATTATCAATTTATCCAAATAGTATCCTTAGTTTTTTTTTATTTTTAATAACAGAAATATTTATGATGCTATGGTTTATAAATCTAATTCATTCGATCAAGGACAAAAATCTCCCCAAATTTTGTATCTCGGATGATGATTATGTTTCTTTTGTCATTTCAGAATCGTAATTTAGATTATAAGTTGACAATTTTCTTTTAAATAAATACCTGTTTGACACTTGTGTCCCGTGTAACCAGGTAAACAGTCACACCTGTAATTCTGAGTGATTCTCTGTCGTATACACGTGCCGCCATTTGTACAAGGAGAACTCACACAAGGACTCACGTCTAAGATTGATACACGTGCAATCATACATATAATACATTATCAAGAACTTTAGAATTTCTTTTGAAATGTTTGACCAAAAAGATTGTTCTAAATATACTTACCATTTACGTTGATATTTAAGCATCTTGATTCGCTGGTTTTCCTGCCAAATTTCAAAAAACCTTTTATTGATTTTCTTATCTGATTTAAATGTCTATATTTATGAATAAAACATATTTAGCCAATTTAAAGAAAGAGATAATTTAAACAAAAATAATTGAAAGATGAATCTTATACTTGAATGCCGAGAAAATACCCATTTTTTTAAATTATTCATTTTTGTTGTAAATATTTAATCATATTTTAGAAACAGATGAAAACTACTAATTGAAGCTTAAAACCTAAACGTGTCTTCGACTAGAGCACAAACAATGTGAGATCCTACTTGGTTCTGCTGAGGTTTCCAGGAAGTGCTGACAAAGTATGTTCCAGGTCTGGAGGAGACAGACTGTAGTGAAGTATAGGTCATACCGGCAGGCGAAGTGATGTCCATCTTTGTAATTCTGTTATGGATTAAAACATTCAAACATTAGGTTTCACAGAATTTGATCACGTGATCAACTATGTTCAGTTCCCAGAGAACCTTTTAACATTGTTGTTTATTTCTTAATTATACTCACCTTCTACTATCTGAAGCATAAAAGGACACTTGGAAGGTTTGTAATATGTTTGTCTGTAAGGTTGTTCCGGCAGCTGGATTGGGGCTGACAAACACTGATTTGTCGTTGCATCTCCCGGACAGTGGAGGCGTTTTAATTAGAAACTGAAAGGAATCACTGATATTTAAATACAAATACCTCTTGAAATTCTTTTTCCGGTATTTAAACCCTTTTATGACATAGTATATGCATTTCTACGCTTCTGACTTGAAAGACAGGTAAAATGTGAAAAAACATTCATAAATTTGTTAATACTGGAAATATCAGAATAAATCTTGTGCCATTGGAAAGAGAACATAAATATGGTAAAATGATATACAGAAAATGTTTTTATAGGATGTACGAGTTATTTACTAGCTTGAGTAAAACTTTGCGCACTATTTGAGCGATTTTGCCATTATCGAAAGAAATGCGGGGGTAACATGTTATATTATACAGTTATTGACTGGGTATGAGGGCAACATATGATTTGTTGGACCTGAAGGTGAAAATGTTGCCCAAGACCGCAGGCCAAGGGCAACATTTTCATCTTCAGGTCCAACAAATCATATGTTGCCCGAATTCCAGTGTATAGCTGTTTTGTTATACTCTAAAAAACGCTTAATACACATTAGGTAAACTTTGTATATTGTTTATATATTACATGTAAGATTAAACACGTTTTTTAACTTTTTAGGAAAGAAACATTGATAACCATTTAATTTTGGCTATGTTTATCAATAGATTATCAATTTACACAAAACACGTGTTTGTGTCTGTAAATATTATACTTATCTAATATAAAAAGCCCAGAAGAAATCCCGTAACAAACAAAACAAATTAAGATTTATAAAAATATTACGTTTTTCGTTTTCAAAATATTTCTACAAACTGCAAATATACAACCATTCTCATATATTTAATCAATCCTAACCAATCTCTAAGAAGATATTCTTTCCGGCCAGTAATTACCACTGGATTTCGATGTTAACAATTTGATAAAGTTTGAACCGAAAAATAATTAACTGACCATAAAAGTCATCTGGTTTATATGAAATATGATCAGCAGTGGCTGTTCACTCATCCATGGTAGCTGATCCCAACACGGATTTTCTGGAAGTCCGTGTTTGCTCCGCTGTTATTTTGTAATGTTTAATGGTCTTCTGAGCTAAAATTTTGTTCGTTACCTCCCCGTATTTTATGTTTATCTACCTTACCGATCTCTGAGAAATGATAGATTTGAGTTTATTAAAAGTTTATGTTGTTGATATGAAATTAAATGAGCTCTAAACGCTGAAAATTGATTTAAGTAATAAGTAGGTGAATTACAAGTAAGCTGCTACTGTGGAGGGATGGTTAGATAAATGTTTTTTTTAGAGCTGAGGATCATATCATCTTGTAACATTGAATTATCAAATAAAGGCTCAAACCCTCTTTGAAGGGGGGTTAAATATGAAATATTAAAAAATAAAAGCACATTTAAAAAAATTCTATTCCCGAGAACCACTGGACCAAGAAAGATGGAAGTCATGAGGATACATCTTCAGGTAATCTTTTCTCAGGAACAGCATAAATTGGTAATATTTATATAGAAGCATCCTCAGGTAGTGTAAATGCAAGTTTGGTCAAATCATGACCCGCAAAGGTACTAGTATATTATTTTTTTCTAGCTATAGTGTTCAGTTGCCCCTGGTTAACTGATTTTGACAAAGAATATGGATAGCAAATAGAATGCAAGGTCTACTTGATCAAGACAAATTGGAAGAAGAACAAAACTAGACCTCCGGAAACAACAGAAATAGGAACAGGTTTGAAGGAGAAATAAAATTTCTTTGTCGTTTCGTCATATCTGTATTGTCCTCATTTTCATTATTTTGTAAACGGAGACAAACGAACAAAATTTAGTGTGTAAATATTGCCACAACAGGGATTTGAATAAATTCACTAAGCGTTTAACACAGAAAGAGAGTTGCATTCGTTGGCCAGGTCACTGTGATAAACATAAGAAATGCGAAATGATGTATTGGAATTTTACTGATAATATTCTTGTTTAATAAACTAATTTGACAATAGCTTGCCTCGTTTTAGAAGATATATGAACTACCAGTTAAACAAGTCAATATAATGTTAAAAATTTCCGTCCCGTGAAAACCTTCCGAATACTTGAGCATCCGGATATCATGTGTCAGGATATCTGAAGGTCCACTGTATATAATGTTCATGCCTAAAGTATGTTCTTGAGTATCGAATCAACTACACAGCTAATTGTGCCACGTACGTTTCACGTACGTTAAACATATGTGACACGTACGTGACTTCACGTACGTTTTCCATGAAAAAGATACCACGTACGTTATACGTACGTTTTCACGCATGTGAATATCATGCGTGTCACGTATGTTAAACATACGTATTGCCTACCATACGTTACACATATATTGTACACGTACGTTACTCATACGTTTCACATATGAATAACGTACGTGCAACGTGTGTGTAACATATGTTTCTAATAACATGTTTAATGGGTTTATTATTTGCACTGCTCATATAATAAATGTCTAAATACCATACAAAAATGTGTCAAACCATGGTTAAACACGTTTTGAACATTTTTTTCACATTATGTAAACGTTGGTAAAACAAAAATTACGTGCAATTTAAATATTCAATTCAGGCATTTGACATAATTTCCCTCAAAGGCTTATTTCTTTTTCATCTGTTGAATGATCCACTTTCTGGTTATCCTTCACTTTAAATTTCCTGATCCTTATTCTCTTGAAGCAATCACAACAAAAGACAAATTAAGATTTAAGCCATATTTAATGTTGAGTATGTTAACATCAATTCATTCTTCTCCAGTTCTCTTTTATCTGTAAAGAAAAAGAAAATATTAAATGCATGGAATAAGGGAAAACCCATTTTTCCCTGAACATTATTATTATCCACATATTAATCCTGGTTGATTCCCTGTAGAACTTAAATATAAATACTAAATAACTATAATTAATTTTTTAGCATTCATAACCATGATCTTTTAAACTTTTTTTCACTATATCCTCAAATATCTACCTTGTAATTCTCTTATAATCTAAAATTCATTAAATTTTTTTTTTCACTATGTCCTCAAATATCTATCTTGTAATTCTCTTATCTAAAATTCATTAAATAGCATTGATTTGTGGGTGAACTCGCAAAAAAAGATGTGGTTTTTTGTACTTATACTGATACCCCATATGCCAGCTATGGTTAATGCAAGTCAGTCAAGGTCAAACATCAAAATTGTTGTTATCCAAGGAAGGACTTGTCACAAAGAATAAATCTGTGAAATATGAAAGCCCTACTACTATCAGCTCAAAAGTTAAGATCAAAGAAAGTTTTTTAACAGTGGGTTAAACTAGAAGTTCAAGGTCAAATATTTAAGGAATGACTATAATTCTTGGCCAAATTATTTGATGATGACCTGGTTTGGGCCAGTTTACGCTTTATAATCCGCGAAGCTAGTATTTGAAGCCTCTAAGTTTATAAGACCCAAAATACATCAACAGAGAAAGTTTGATGATTCTTAGCCAGTTAGGACTAAAGATATTTCAATAGAGCTATAAAATACCATAAGTAGGTCATGGTGACCTACTTTTTGGTCGACAATCTCCAAAAACCATAGATGCCTCAACTGACAAAGTTTAACAATTCTAGGTCAATATAAAGTTCTTTTGGTTTTATTTTCCTGATTATCTCCCTTTGTATAAGGGTCCAAGCCCTAGTTTTAGTATAAATGGTAGCCCTTGGGCCAAGGATGCCCTGTAAAAAATTTGACAATGATTGTCCAAGGGGATCTTGAGTTATGGCCCACATTCTAAAACGTTTATGCACACCACACATATGGCCATAGCATTAGCTCTTTAAGGCTTTGGTTCAGAAGAGCTAAAAACAGTATACATGTACTGGTACACCTATTTGCTGACTTACTATGAGGACAATAGCTAGTTTATCATCCCCCAAGACAGCAACTATTCCCCTAGATGCAGCCGAGGGAAATAGTTTGCTGTCAAGGGAGATGATAAACAAGCTATTTTCCGAATAGTAAGTAAATAGGTGTTTAATTATGGCACCTGATCCCACCTCTGATGTTTCTGGGGTCCGTGTTTGCTCTGCTCTTATTTTGTATAGTTTTATGGACTTTGAGATTGAATACTGTTCGTTATCTCCATATCCTTCTATTATACTGAAGCTGACTTAAACTTATATGTAATTAAGGTCCCATCTGGATAAAACCAGAAGAGTTACGAAATGAAAAATTGAACTTACCTTCTGCATTAATCTTTAGCTTGGGATGGACCCATCTGTTTTGTGTGTGTTCCAAGTGTATACTTTTTGTCCTTGAGGTTAAAAAAAATATATGTTAAAAAAAAAATAGACAACTTTCACATTAAATTTTACATAAGTTATTCCCCTATGTGGGGTCAATCCAGCGCATGGCCCTGTTTTCCCTCTGTAACCTTACCAAATTTATTTTTCAGTATCTTAAAAATAAAATCTGTAATGAATATGTTCATTAAGATTTTCATGTTGCCCCAAACTTTGGCAATACAGGTACAGATCTAAATTGCCCAATAACGTTTGAAGATTGAAAATAATAACAGCCCAACAGGTAACTTACAAAGGGCAAAGTGGGAAAAATGAGAGTTATGCCGACAAGGGAAGATAACTCTTAGTAGTGTGAAATTGGTCAAACTCAATTGCATTTCAAATTTTACATGGAAAGCTTCAAGATACATGTAGTATTTGCAAGTCTAAAAGCAATATGATCAGAAAATCTTATTCCTTTTTAAAAGTTATAATTACCATATTTAAGATTAATACTGGTTAACCTTTCAGAATCTGTTTTGAAGTTCATTCTAGGCATTTAGGTGTTTACAAAGATGAGCTTCAGTCACCATCCTGGAAATGCATATCTAAAATAACATAAAAATACACAATCTCATTTACACAATTTATATTCATAAGTATGAAAAAGGACAATTATGTAAAAACAAAACTGTTACACCATTATTGCCCTCAAAGAGAATGATTTCCTTTACCATAAGTAATGTGATGTTTTAAATACACTGCAAAAAGAAATAAATTCAGTGATTGAACTTTACATCAAATTGATGTTGTTTCTTTTTTTTCTTTGCATCTTATTTGTTAGGTTAAAAACATTTTAAATAAATACTTAATTGTTATTACAGTATTTTTAAACTTCACCTGCATTTTGATATATGACGTGCCCTTGTTGACCAAACAGCTCACTGCCTCACTATGGTCAATATTTTCTGTTTTTGAAAACCCAAGTCTCCTTTATGTAATGCATGAAAAAACACCCCCTTAGTTTACATGCAACACACAGTCATCAGTGGTCATAAAGTAATTAAATAAAAAAATTAATAATTGTTGATTTTATGCATTCCTCACCGTGAGCTTGGCCCTAGAACTTGGCAGACGTCAGGCTTCTCTTTCCAGTGACGTCACTGGTAACGTACATGTAATACATAAATGGAGGCTGGAAAATTCCGGAAGGTATATTTTATAAGTTTTATACGGACGGTACCCACTGTACATTAGATATTTATTTAGGTAAATCATTTACTCCATTTAGAGACTTGTGAAATTATCGTGAATTTCTTTCTTTCTTTTTTTCAATTTAGTTTTGCTCTTGAATTCGGATTGATTATATCTATCGATGACCGAGTTTAATTTTATGTACCTCTACCGATATCCGATATACAAGACGAGAACGCCTAAGTCAAGCTAGCGGCCAATAACGCTCAGCGGCCAATAACAAAACATATTTATAAATTTTAAGTTTATCGACTAGAAAAATGCGTTTCTCGAACCCGACGCAATAACTATGATTAATTAATTAAAGCATAGCGCTTAAACTAAGAATTGTGCCAATTAGGGGAGCTCGAAGGCGCCAATTTACACCGTTTCTGGGCGCCAGGGCGCCAAATCCAACCCTATTCTCTGATACTTATATGTACTATAGGGGTCTAGAGAGGG